TGTGCTTATAATCTTAAGAACAAATGTATATAAAGCAACTTACTATGTGGCAGATTTGTTCTAAAAGTTTTACATATATTAATTTAACAGTTTACTAGCTGAAAATACAATGATGAATCAGTAGATTAGATCTTTTTTCCTTTATGGAAAGGACGTATTTAAAATCTAGTTTAAGTCTGCCTGAATGGTAGAGTCCAGAATTCAGATCCAGGCCCTCTTTCTCTGAGGCTTCATTGTTAGATGACTATAATTTCTCTTGTGGCTCATTTGATTATTAATACTTTTATTCTCTTCTGTATTAAGGTATCTCACTTCCACCACTATTACATTCGAGCTCTCCTTCTGGTTCCTTCTTTGACTTCTGTCGACATCCACATCTCCAAATCCCATTTCTTCAGTTACTTTTTCCAAAGATCTTTGAAAATGCAACCATCAGTGGGAGTGTCATTGTTTGCATTGATATAGATACAGAAGGTAATGGATAAGATTTCAAGTGCCTTCTGCAGTTACTGAGGTCAGTAGAGGAGGAAATATGTAAATTTATGCTACTTATAAGGACGTGAAGAATTTAAAAGTTCATTCCCTGGCTTGTGGATCTGGCCATACTCACTTTGTCCAGACACAGTACCATATTTTCTTCCATCTCTTTGTTTTCTTAGGTTGGAAATGAAAACAGCTGTTAAAAATAAGAGCACATGAGTCAGTCTTGAATCCCAATGTAGTAATTACAGTTTCCATCTCAGTTGGTAAAGTCCCTCCCAATGTACTAAGCCCCATATCACAATCCCCTTGTGGGGAGAGCGCTGCCAATGGTATTGTCAATTTTATAGCAAGACTTTAATTTTTGTTTTGCAAACCTCCAAGATTAAACATTAAATCACTTGCCAAGTCAAGAAAAATAACAAGGAAAAAATACTTCAATTTAAAAACTTGATTCTTCGTATCTCAAAATAATAAGAGATATTTATGACAAACCCACAGCCAATATCATACTGAATGGGCAAAAACTGGAAGTCTTCCCTTTGAAAACTGACACAAGACAGGGATGCCCTCTCTCACCACTCCTATTCAACATAGTGTTGGAAGTTCTGGCCAGGGCAATCAGGCAAGAGAAAGAAATAAAGGGTATTCAATTAGAAAAGAGGAAGTCAAATTGTCCCTGTTTGCAGATGACATGATTGTATATTTAGAAAACCCCATCGTCTCAGCCCAAAATCTCCTTAAGCTGATAAGCAACTTCAGCAAAGTCTCAGGATACAAAATCAATGTGCAAAAATCACAAGCATTCCTATACACTAATAACAGACAAACAGAGAGCCAAATCATGAATGAACTCCCATTCACAATTGCTACAAAGAAAATAAAATACCTAGGAATCCAACTTACAAGGGATGTGAAGGACCTCTTTAAGGAGAACTACAAACCACTGCTCAATGAAATAAAGGAGGACACAAACAAATGGAAGAACATCCCATGCTCATGGATAGGAAGAACAATATCATGAAAATGGCCGTACTGCCCAAGGTAATTTATAGATTCAATGCCCTCTCCATCAAGCTACCAATAACTTTCTTCACAGAATTGGAAAAGAAACTAAAGTTCATATGGAACAAAAACGAGCCCGCATTGCCAAAATAATCCTAAGCCAAAAGAACAAAGCTGGAGGCATCATGCTACCTGACTTGAAACTATACTACAAGGCTACAGTAACCAAAACAGCATGGTACTGGTACCAAAACAGAGATATAGACCAATAGAACAGAACAGATGCCTCAGGAAATAACACCACACATCTACAACCGTCTTAGCTTTGGCAAACCTGACAAAAACAAGAAATGGGGAAAAGATTCCCTATTTAATAAATGGTGCTGGGAAAACTGACTAGCCATATGTAGAAAGCTGAAACTGGATCCCTTCCTTACACCTTATACAAAAATTAATTCAATATGGATTAAAGACTTTACTGTTAGACCTAAAATCATAAAAACCCTAGAAGAAAACATAGGCAATGCTATTCAGGACAAAAACTTCATGACTAAAACACCAAAAGCAATGGCAACAAAAGTCAAAATAGACAAATGGTTTAGTTCTAATTAAACTAAAGAGCTTCTGCACAGCAAAAGAAACCACCATCAGAGTGGACAGGCAACCTACAGAATGGGAGAAAATTTTTGCAATCTACCCATCTGACAAAGGGCTAATATCCAGAATCTACAAAGAACTTAAACTAATTTACGAGAAAAAAAAAAAACCCATCAAAAAGTAGGCAAAGGATGTGAACAGACACTTCTCAAAAGAAGACATTTATACAGCCAACAGACACATGAAAAAATGCTCATCACCGGTCATCAGAGAAATGCAATCACAATCACAATGAGATACCATCTCATACCAGTTAGAATGGCGATCACTAAAAAGTTAGGAAACAACAGGTGCTGGAGAGGATATGGAGAAATAGGAATGCTTTTACACGGTTGTTGGGAGTGTAAACTAGTCAACCATTGTGAAAGACAGTGTGGTGATTCCTCAAGGATCTAGCACTAGAAATACCATTTTACGCAGTGATCCCATTACTGGGTATATACCCAAAAGATTATAAATCATGTTACTATAAAGACACATGCACAGATATGTTTATTGTGGCACTATTCACAATAGCAAAGACTTGGAATCAACCCAAATGTCTATCAGTGATAGACTGTATTAAGATAATGTGGTACATCTACACCATGGAATACTATGCAGCCATAATAAAGGATGAGTTCATGTCCTTTGCAGGGACATGGATGAAGCTGGAAACCATCATTCTGGGCAAACACAAGGACAGAAAACCAAACACCGTATGTTCTCACTCATAGATGGGAATGGAACAATGAGAACACTTGGACACAGGGTGGGGAATGTCACACATGGGGACCTGTCATTGGGTGAGGGGCAGGGGGAGGGATAGCATTAGGAGAAATACCTAATGTAAATGATGAATTAATGGGTGCAGCAAACCAGCATGGCACATGTATACCTATGTAACAAACATGCATGTTGTGCACATGTACCCTAGTACTTAAAGTATAATTTTAAAAAAGAAAAAGAAAAAAGAAAAGAAAAGCACATGGGACGGGGAAAAAATTAAAAAAAAAACCAAAAACTTGATTCTTGCAACATGCTCTTTTTTCAAAACTTAATTTAGATTTTGACCAAATCTCTATGTTACTATTAGAAATGTCAGTTACTGTTCCACATTCTTTTCTTCTCTTTTTTTTTTTTTTTTTTTGAGACGGGGTCTCTATTGCCCTGGGTAGGGTGCAATTGTGCAATCATAGCTCACTGCAGCCTCAAACTCCTGGGTTCAAGTGATCCTCCTGCCTCAGCCTCCTGAGTGGCTGGGACTATGGGCATGTGCCACCGTGATCAGCTAATTTTTTTGTAGACATATGGTCTCACTATGTTGCGCAGGCTCATCTTGAAATCCTGGCATCAAGTGATCATCTGTCCTTGGCCTCTCAAAGTGTTGGAATTACAGGTGTGAGCCACCATCATGCCTGGCCACTGTTTCACATTTTTTAAAATGGAACTTCAGATGGATTTCATGGTATCCTCACTGTGAATAATTTTCTTGAGCTCTTGTAGAGGTTAAGCTTTGAATTGTTTTCTCTTTTCTCAGTTCCTGAGGTTTATGATCTAGTAAGCCAATCTCAAATGAGTCATCTACCACCTATTAATTGATTGTTACCTTTGAGAGCAGATTGATCCTCTTTTAGTTCTGCTTAGTTCCCCATATCAACAATTTAGTCTTTTACTGAATAATCCCACTGTCTAAAACTGTGATGGTTCCTCCTCACCTCCCAAGTCAGCCGCCTCCAAATCACTAATCTAATGTTGCTCTATAAATGTGCTACTGGCAGCAGAGCTTTGTGCCTTATAGGAGGAGAGTCAGGGAACTTGGCCTTTTCACTCACTTCACTTTGCCCATTTTATTTCCCCTTTCTAAGGCTTGATTATTTATTTTCGATTAGATTATTTCTGAAGTTCATTTCCCCACGAAGATTTCTATAATTTTGTTATCATTGTGTCCCCCAAGAGCCAATTTTATGTGCTGGAAATGAAGACACTGCATGCCTAGCATGACTTATGGAACTCTGAGAAGGCTGTTCAGCCCCAGCTCCCTCTACCACACCTTAAGTTCCACCATTAGATATTCATTCATTGTGGTAGGATAGTACCTCTCAGATAGGACACCATTTAAAATCCAGTATGTTTAGAAGGGCAAACCCATAAAACTAGTATGTGAGACAATATAGTATCATGGTTAGAGGCAAGCTCTGAGGTCAGACCACCTTTCACACCTGGGCTGTGCCACTCACTAGCTATATGATCTAGGCAATTAATTCATCTTTCTGTGCCTCAGTCTCCTCATCTGTAAAATGAGGATAATAGTACTCTCCTGGAGGGTTTTTGTGAGGTCTCAATGAAATCTGTAAAGTGCTTAGATGAACATTATCCTGCTTTGTAAGTGTTAGCAATTACTATCTTCATTTGCATACATTTCCATGTTGTGTTGATGCATATTGTATTGAAAGCTGATACCGAGTCACAGAGAAATTGTTTTGTTGGGAAACTGGAAGGAGATACTTTGAACACAAGAGGCACTGTTAAGGGACGGCCTGTGTCACAGCTGGTAGCGTAAAGTCACTGGGTGCCTGCAGGTGGATAGGGAAGCATGTATAAGAGACAGTAAGGGAGATGGGCCTCCTTCTAGTCCTAACCAGTATGCTCAGTAACTGATAGAATGTATCAGCTAGGACGATGAACAAGTAATGTGATGTACACCTGCAAATTAACTTTGAATTCAGTACTTGCTTAACTTGCTCTGTGTCTCATAATTCCATGCCTTGTCATTTTCAGATAATGCTAGGTCTCTGAGCCATTACACTTGAGGAGCTATGGGGAAAAGTAGAGTGTTTTACCTTGCTGAATGTCCTTCCTTCTTCTCTTTAGATTACATGAAGCAGATGACATTTGAAGCCCAAGCCTTTTTAGAAGCTGTGCAATTCTTCCGACAGGAGAAGGGTCACTATGGTTCCTGGGAAATGATCACTGGGGATGAAATCCAGGTAACATGGGGCTCAACATTTTGGATTCTCTCTCTGTTTGGGTATTTGACTGATAGGAAGTCAGGGTCATTTTGTTAAACAATCAAACAAAAAAGTTGCAAGTATGGAAGATGTGGTTCCACAGGCCACCTCTCTCATGTCTAGAAGCATTGGTCAGGAAACTACCAGGCACCCACTGCAAAGACCACCAGACTGGGCATGAAATAGGGCAGCCAGAAACATGGCAACAGTGGAAAGAGCTGCCCCCACTGTTTTCTATGAAAATAATTTCTCTTTCAGATGACCTCGTGCTTCCAGACTAGAATCGAGTGTGAGTAGCGAGCAGTAGTGCAAAGTGCATGACAGGGCTTTAGCTAGGGTCAGCAAACTTGGACTTAAGTCATGCCAACTTATTTAACCTCTTTTAGTCTCAGATTACTCCTCTGGAAAAAATAAGAATAGTAATGTTTACCTTGCCTTGTGAAGTGCAGTTGGAGAAGTATTTGGCAAGCAGCTGTCTTTATTGAATTATATGTAAATGAAGTAATGAAAAAAACAAATTCGAAAAGCATTAGACAGTTTTCCATATATTGCATTTATCTTTTCTAGTTTTCTGTGCCCTGCGGTACATTGTAATTTCTCATGATCCTGACTAGATGCCAGTCATGGCCTAAGCACTTCAGTGGGTTTGGTACCAGGGACGGTATTATAAATCTCCAAAGGAAACTGCTTTGTGATGTGACCCCCGCCTCCATGATGACACCAGTCACATGGCTGCGTCAGCCAAGAGCAGGAGGCTGGGTATGGGCATATTTACATAAAGCAACATGGTATTTCAGAATGCTATTTTTTTTTTTTTTTTTTTTTGAGAGGAGTCTCGCTCTGTCGCCCAGGCTGGAGTATACAGTGGGGCAATCTTGGCTTATTGCAACCTCCGCCTCGTGAGTTCAAGCAATTCTTCTGCCTCAGCCTCCCGAGTAGCTGGGACTATAGATGCATGCCACCACTCCAGCTAATTTTTGTATTTTTAGCAGAGACGGGTTTTTACCATATTGGTCAGGTTGGTCTCAAACTCCTGACCTCGTGATTCACCTGCCTCAGGCTCCCAAAGTGCTGGGATTATAGGCGTGAGCCACCGCGCCCGGCCCCACTAATTTTTTTTTTTTCCCCACATCTCCTACGGTACCTCTTTTGGGAGCTAGTGAAATTCATTATTAGAGAACAATATTTGGAGGATGCCGAGTGGTGCCTTGCCTCTGTGTGGTCATTAAACATCTAATGCTAAAAACTCATGAGGGAGCTCTTCTTTATTGTTTCACCATATAAGAACATGTGTTTACCATTAGAATCTTCTCTTTCTCTCTTTTTTTTTTCTTTCTGGTAGATTCTAAACTCATCTATTTCCCAACCTGAGACTTGCTTCTTCCAGAATTTTAAACAAGTCTTGAGTTTTGATATTTTGGGGAAGCACAGCCATTCATAAGTCTGAGAGAACCAAATAGTTGTGTACTTATGCCATAAAGAAAAACAAAAGTGTCAGAAGGGGAAGCTGAAGCATTTGACACTGGCTGGCCTGCCATGTAAGCCAACATAGTTAATAGATAGACGAGTAGTCAAATGCCTTTGTGTGATACTTGATAATGTTCGAAACCTAATGGTGTTTGTCTTGCCAATCTTATGAGATGGGTAGGGCAGTTATTATTATTATTTCAATTTTGTAAATGTGAAAACTGAGGGAAGCATATAACAGCAAAGTGACTTGCCTAGTCTCATTCATTCAACTACTATTTACTGAGCGCTGACTCTATGCCAGGCAATGTGCTGGGGGCTATTGACCCAAAGATAGACAAGACAGAATGGTCCTGGCCCTGTGGAGTTGATAGTTTCAGAGTTACATGCTAAGTGGACAAATGGCAAAGGCAATGATGGCTTCTGCTCCTGGCCCAGTGCAAGATTAACACCAACCATGGGAATATACTAAGTTACACATTTATTTTTCAATAGCTCCTTGAGTTCAGCCCTGCCACTTGCTTCATTTTTTTCTTTCACTCGAAAACGTATATGAACTTACGTTCCTCCATGATGCCAGTGAAAATAGGTACTTAGGCCAGGTGCAGTGGCTCACGCCTGTAATCCCAGCACTTTAGGAGGCCGAGGCAGGCAGATCACAAGGCCAGGAGTTCAAGACCAGCCTGGTTGACACAGTAAAACCCTGTCTCTAATAAAAATACAAAAAAATTAGCTAGGTGTGGTGGCAGATGCCTGTAATCCCAGTCACTTGGGAGGCTGAGGCAAGGAGAATTGCTTAAACCTGGGAGGCAGAGGTTGCAGTGAGCTGAGATCGTGCCACTGCACTCCAGCCTGGGTGACAGTGTAAGACTCCATCTCAAAAAAAAAAAAAGGGAAAAAAAAGAATATAGGTATTTAATAAATCCTTTCTGGGAGTTGAGTTTGAGTTTGTTTTGGCTTTTGGCTGATTATGTGCTAAGTGGAATAAGTTGGAAGAGACAGAAATGACTCATCCCTTGCCATCATGATGAGGCAAGACACACATAGAAAGCATGCAGAAGACAAGGCACATATGTGTGTGGGTATATGTATATGAGTCTCTATATAGATGAAGATTGTAAAGCATTTGTGCAAGTGGTCATAGTAAGCTCCTAGTTTTGCAGGATAAAAAACATTTTAAATGGGAAAGTGAAACAAAACAAAAAAAAAAAGCAGAAAAGAGATCAGAAATCACTGGAGTTATCAAGTGTCCCAGTAAGAAGTTTCACAGGGGCTGGGTGTGGTGGCTCATACCTGTAATCTCAGCACTTTGGAAGGCCAAGGTGGGAAGACTGCTTGAATCCGGGAGTTCAAGATTAGCCTGGGCAACATAGCAAGACCCTATCTCTTCAAAAAGTTTTCTAAAAGTTAGCTGGGAGCGGTGGTATGTGCAGGTAGTCCCAGCTACTTGGGAAACCAAGACAGTAGGATCATTTGAGCCCATGAGTTCAAGGATGCAGTGAGCTGTCATTTGTGCCACTGCACTGGGCAACAGAGTGAGACCCTGTCTCAAAAAAAAAAAAAAAAAAAAAAGTGGTTTTGCTCCTCCCAGAATTTAAGTGTTTTGGTAAAATGACAGACTCATAAAATGTGAATGCTGGAGGAGCATTTCAGGATTATTGGTCCAGTAACCTCCAGGTGAGAGAAAGAACATTCAGAACAGTTGGCTGAAGTCAGAAAGCTAGTCTGCTACAGAAATGCATTTTAAACCAGCTTGGAGAAGCTGGTAAAAGGAAATGGCCTCTAAAGCTTACCGTGTGGGGCCAGGTAAGGATTACGGTTCCCCACAGACTCTAAGACTTGGTGCATAACAGTAAAGCAGTGTCTACCCTAAGACTCATAGAAAAAAGAGGCCAGGGGGCCAGGGAAGCTAGCAAGTGGTTAAAGAAAATGGCATAGCATAAGTGAGTTTGAGAAAATGACATCTTTTGTTTAAAGCGCTGGGTTTATTTGCATTTTTTTTTCCTGACTGCTAAGACCTTAATCATAGCCCTGTCCTGAACCCCTCTACCCTAGGGGCCTGCGTTCAGACTCTCAGCCTTGTTCCACTACCTTCGTAGTAATGACTCACACAGCAAGTATGGAAGGCCCTCATGGCGATGGTTGTTTTAGGCAAGTGTCCAGGCAGAGCAACTATCTCAGAATAACTTGCCTGGCAGACTATTAAGGTGAAAATATTTGTATGCCAGTAAAAACATCAACATATTTTCTACTTGTCAATATAAATATATCAAATGAGATCATGAGGGAAAGGGCTTTGCAACTGTAAAGTATCTCTAGCTATGTTATGTATTTATTATTTGCTTTTAAAATACCAAGATAGGCTAGAGAACAGCTCATAATTCCCACAGAACAGTTTCAAGACAAAAAAAAAAAAAAACCAAAAAACTACCCACATTTTTTAGGCCTTATCCATATGCTCCAGAGTTGTCTTTTGCTGAAAGATCTTAAGTGTGACTCCTTTTGAGTGGATTCTTTCACCCACGGCCACTCAGTAACACAAGGGGCCTGAGCCAGCAGCCTGATGAGACTGCGGGGCCTGCTTCAGGAAGGAGGGTGGCCTCTCCGGACCTCACACCTCCCTGACAGCTCAGCATCTGAAAGGAGGCACTGTGGTGGGGCCTTCAAGGGGTGATCCCAGGTTTGTTAGTTTTGATCAACCTAGTGACATGCTTACTTTTTATAGGAGTGATAGAATTTTTAAATCTCCAAGTCGTAGTAGTTAAGTATACAAAACACTCCCCTTGCCACCACCCCCCATTAAAAAAAAAAAAAAAAAAAAGTGGTATTTTTAGGTCACTTATGTTAAAATTCAGTGGATACTGTTCTGAGGGGAGGAGCTAGGGAATTCCTTCATGACTACAATTTATTTAGTAGACTAGCTACTTTCTCTAGAAAAGCCCAAGGGCTTAGGACTCTGCTCGTGGAAGGCAGACCATGGTAGGGAATGCCAGAGTGGGCTCTGGGGAGGTGACAGGCAGCACTCAATCAGGGCAGGGTGGGGCTGAAGGTTGGAAGATGAGGATGGTTGTTGGGATGAGATGCACTTGAACTTCAGCACCCACAGGCTCTGCTGCCCTGTGGCCATTTCCTGAGCCCCACTCCCCCACTGTATTAGTCCGTTTTCATGCTGGTGAGAAAGACATACCCAAGACAAGGTAATTTATAAAGAAAAAGAGGTTTAATGGACTCTGAGTTCCACATTGCTGGTGAGGCCTCACGAAGTCATGGCAGAAGGTGAAAAGCACGTCTTACATGGCAGCAGACAAGAGAGAATGAGAGCCAGATGAAAGGGGAAACCCCTTGTAAAATCACCAGATCTTGTGAGACTTATTCACTACCACTAGAACATTATGGGGAAACTGCCCCTAGGATTCAATTATCTCCCACCAAGTCCCCCCCAACACATGGGAATTATGGGAGCTACAATCCAAGATGAGATTTAGGTGGGGACACAGCCAAACCATATCATCCCTCCCCACCAACTTGTAACCCACTTCCACCCCCTCTTTTTCCTCCCAGACATATTTCCTTTAATTCCTTAAGTTGTAAAATAAAACCAAATTTCTTGGAACATTGTGTGGGAAAGACAAGAAAACTATAAGCCCACCCAAATGGAACATTATTTTTCTTTGGCCTTTATATATAACATTTTCATATTTTCAAACCCGTTTCACACTTATGCTAAAATTCTAACCAATCTCTGCAAGAGGATGAATTAGGACAATTCTTATGACCCTTGAGTTTCATAATGTCAACCCAGTGATTTTAAATTCTGGCATTGGTCTCCCTTCCTCTTGGCTCACTCTTCGCATACCACACTTTGGGGAGATGTGTTCCAAACAAGAACTTATCCCATTGAGCAGGGTGGGCTGGTGGATCTATTAGGTTGGTGCAAAAGTAATTGTGGTTCTTGCCATTACTTTCAATAATTGTTGGACCTGCTAATTTCCATGGAGTTTTGTGCATGTTAGGTGCCTCTTAAATGCCACAGAAAATGGTGATTCATCTTTCGACTGCCCCCAGAGAATGGCGAAGAAAGGTCAAAAACATCCCCACCAGTGAATTACCAGGGCTAGTGGAAACTCTGTCCCCACCATAACCTTCGTCACCCCAGGCAGATCCACTTGGCAGATGACAGGAGCCCCACTTGCTGCCCTGAGCTGAGCACCTCTCCCAGCAACCCACAGGCACAGTGGGACAGGACAGCTCGTCCACCTCCACCCTGAGAGTGTTTCTATTTGGTTCATTGAAAGCGTTACACCCTGCCGCGACGGAGCCCTGATTAAAGGCAAGATCAAATGAGCTCATGGGCATTTCCACTAGCATGAGGCTGACCAGTGACCTCAGAGCAAATCTTCCTTAATTCCCAAAGCGTAATTTGAATTTTTATGAGAAGTGAAAGGAGGAGGTCAGTTATTTTGGACAAACATTATTTCAAACTCAGAACAGATGCTTCAAGTGATTCCCTACTTTTCTGCCTCCTGCCTCCCTTCCTAAAACTATGCTTCCCCTTTTGTAAATCTTAGTGTGCAGCCTATGAATGCAAGCTGAGCTGTGGGCCTCGAAAGACTCACAGTGAAGGTGAATGTGAACAGCAAAGCTGCTGCAATTCAGGGGCAGGGGTAAAGAAGGAAGGGCCAGTAGCATGAGTGGTTGTGTAGAATACTGCTCCGATTCACCGGAAATAGTTTAATTGAGCCAAGAAAAATTTTAGGAGCGATGTGGGAACACGCTTTTTAAAAACACTTGAAAAATTTAGACACTCCTTCCCATATTCTTCTTTTATTTTTTCCTTTTTTTTGTTTCAGTCCCCATTATCTCACACTCCTCCTATAAATGTTCCAAATATTTGATTGTTCCAAAATATTGGTTATTCCCTTCTTTTTCCTGTTTCAAACTGTATCCAGCCTTATTAAAGATGCTTTTTGTAAGCAATCATAGTATATTAGGCAAGCCATGAGCAGATAATTGCTAATAGTATACAACAACTTCCAAACTCTCTTCTTCAATCAGAAGAAAACAGCTTCTTCTCTGATCAGAAATCAGGGTATAAAACCCAGCGAAATCTTCATTTGCTTAGACTCTCGTTTGCAGTAAGGGTTGACATTTCACCTGTAGCATGTTTTTTAACAACTTTTCACGAGCCAGTCTAGACTTTCAGGAGATGAAATGAAAATGGCAAAATCATCAGTCTGGAGATCCACACTCTAAAAAGGGAACTGCTGTTCTTTTGAGAGATGCCCTCTCAATAGGGGTCACTGGAAGGTCCAGATGGCCCCCTGACTGCTAACTAATTTTACGCATCAGGTCCCAATAGGTCTCTGGGTTTAAGGAAGTTGAGACCATACTAAAGGCAGAGAGGGCGAAGAGGAAATAATGAATTTTAGTTTTCCCACACCATAAGGTGTTTGTGCCAAGGTAGCTATGTGTGTCAACACCAGGAATACCCCACCTGGGAGCCAAGAGGAAGTTTCTCAAAACTGGAAGAAAAGGTGTTTCCCCACATCAATCCAGCTTTGGAGACATTCTGTTAGTGACATATGCCCCTTTCCCCCCAAAAATGAAATGTTCTGTGTGATCATAACATAGCTTTAAGAAAAGTAAGACAACGTTCTACATTTTTATAAAGCTCCATTTAAAAAAATAGTATCTCCAATTGGACGGTCACCAGAAGTACACAGTTACCAAAAATGCACACTTCCCCTGGCATCTCCAGCATTGTCAGCTTTTTGTGCATGATCTGTTCTGGCATCTCCATTTTCTGCAGGATTATTTCCCTCCTTGCCGGTGCCAGCCTTTCCCTTTTTCCCTTTTGCATACCTTCTCTTCCTTCTTAGTAGGGGCCTTTTGGAGCTTGGGTTCTGACTGTGGAGAAGCAGGTCTAGCAGACAACCTTGCCAATCTTCTCTGTGGCTTATCCTTCAATGTGGCTGTATCTCCTGGAGCATCCCCTCAGCCTTTCTCCAGTGCTGGACGAAGACACTGCATGGTGGGATGCAGTGATACCTGGGCTCTGGTCGGTCCAGGCGTCATTCTCGCTTCTTCAAACTGCTCTTCCCTTCTTTTACTAAACATTAAAGAGGATGACAATGGGGCTCAGGGGACAGTGGGGACAAAGAGCATGAAGATACTTTGATACCTTGATCATGAAGAGGCTTAGGAGGAATGATAGTCCCAGGGGACACAGACAAAGACTCAAGCCACCAAAGCCAAGCCTAGCATTTCCTTCACAATTTTGCTGAAGATGTCCTTATCCATTATTGAAATCTTTCATTTTACTGTATGCCCTAAGTTCTTCTAGTTTGAAGATGTGAAGTTTGAATTTGGGGAATTTGTTATTTACGTTGGGAAAACAACAAGGTGAGAATATCAGCAGACGTTACTATTCCTTGCAGATGTTTAAGAATGTTCAGCCTCTAAGATTGTCTTAGTTGAGATTTCTGTGGCCTCTGTAGTAGGTTAAGCTATTAACTTATTATAGTATTATTAAACTATTAACCTGCTACAGAGTTCATCTGGTCCAGGCAGGGACAGCCAATCAGGACATCTTTAGTTGGCCTGATGCTCAGATGTAGCCATCACCGACTGACCAACTCTGGGCTGTCTTCTGCTGTGCAGATCCTGAGTAACCTGGTGATGGAGGAGCTCCTGCCCACTCTTCAGACAGACCTGCTGCCTAAGATGAAGGGGAAGAAGAATGACAGAAAGAGGACGTGGCTTGGTGTAAGCAATGGTTTTGCTCCACAACTGAGCTACTTAAAATGGGAACATTCCCTTCACTTTTCTCTTAGGGCATTTGTTGTTGTTGTTTGATATTTCCTTCCCTGGGTGTAGAAACGCCTACCTGCAACCTGCTCAGTCTCACTTACACGAAGACTAATCCAAACAGACTCCAACTCTGAAAGAAAAATGACAATGTGTGTGCAGTTCTGTTTATGTTATGATGGTCTGTGATGAAGGCTCCTCCCTCCGCTTGACTCCATCAGCACTTACACATGACAGAGCCCTGATTTATGTGTTATTCCCTGTTGCAGCTCCTCGAGGAGGCCTACACCCTGGTTCAGAATCAAGTTTCGGAAGGATTAAGTGCCTTGAAGGAGGAATGCAGAGCTCTGACAAAGGGCCTGGAAGGAACGATCCGTTCCGACATGGATCAGATTGTGAACTCAAAGAACTATTTAATTGGAAAGATCAAAGGTCAGTGGAGATAATCCATGGTCTTACTAATTAAATAAACTGTACACACAGGGATCCACCACATAGCAGGAATGCATGGTTTCAGAGGACAATTAAACTTAAGAAATCGGGTGGAGGTGATCACAGCTGCAACAGGAGCATGCTGGAGGTACTACTAGGGGCCTGGGCCTCCCTGTGGCAGCTTCATGGACACAAAGCAGAGGAAAGTTTGTTTCTTGCCTTTGGCAGTGCCTGTGTATTCTGATACTGCCTGCACCCCCAACCCCCATTGTAGCACCCCTGGCACTGAGTTAGACTGGCTTCTGCTCCACCTCCTCTCTGCTGTAAGCTCTCAAAGAGCAGAGCCATGTCACCCCGGTTTACTCAAGTACACCCAGGGCCTGGTGTCATGCCTGGCATATACAGACTCAGCAGATATTCAAATCAATTAATACATGGATTTTCCTCTAACATGAAAGCCTAAAATTTTGGCTTAGAGTCATACCCAGTCACCCTACAAACCCAATAAATGTGGGTTTGTAGCCCCAACTCCAATATTAGCCAGTCCATGCATACTTGGGGAGGTCACTCAACTTCTATTTAGCTCAGTGTCCTCCTCTGAAGTTAGGAGGACCCACAGGAGTGGTGTTGGCAAACTGAAGCCCTTGAGCCATATTGCGCCACCACCTGTTTCTGTAAATAATGTTTTCTTGGCACACAGCCAGGCACATTCACTTATGTATTGTCTGTGGCTGCTTTTGTGCTACAACAACAGAAGTGAAGAGTTGGAACTGAGACCTTACAGACCACAAAGGCACAAATATTTACTATTTGGTCCTTTACAGAAAACAGTTTGCCTATTGCCATACAAGAGGCCTTAGACGGCCTCTAAGGAATCCTACAGAATGAAATTCTATGGTTCTCCATTCTATCTGGGGCCTCTACGACCCAACAAACACACCATACCTAGTGACCTAGTGTCACTTCAGAGGAGAAGCTTGCAGGCTCATCTGTGATTGTTTATCAACAGTCTTGCTAGAGAGTTCTCAGAGTTCTCAGATTATTCACTCACTCACTCATTCATTCATTAGAAACTATTCACTATGTGCTTTCCAAGCGAGACAGTGGAGTTTTAGCGTGACTGAGGAACACGCTATTCCTGTGCTCAAGAGGCTCAGAGTCTCGGGGCTGTCTGCTTTGTGGATTATCCTCTGCGGTTCAGGCCCCCTTTCCACTGCAGCCCAGCTTACTTCAGGGTTCTTAGCACAGGTCCTGCTGAGAGGAGGTTTGAGGAGGCACAGCTCCAGCACAGGTGTGTGTGTCTGTGTATCTCTGTGTGTCTATTTACGCCATCCTTTCCAAAGCCAGCTCTACTTTAACTTCAGAGTATTTGATGTTTTCTACTATCTGTGTCTCTTATTCCTCCATTAGCACAACTAATCTAGAGTTGACTATATATTGAAATACTTTGTACTACTTAAAACTACCACTGCTCAACTTCTGTGCCAAAATTTCTGCTATCTGGTGCTAAGCTGGGCTTAACCATGGCCATTCTCATGGCTGAAACTAAATCATCGTCCTTTGCCTAAATCTCTGTGGCTCCAGTGTATCTACTTATGATGGAAAAAGATTTTGCCCTGAATTAGTATATTTCCTAAAAGAAGCCATAAAAGGAAGTAATGATCAAGTCTTTTTAAAATGGAATATCAGTGTTACAGCTCTTTTAGAATTTGTCTAGCAGGCTTTCCAGTTTTTTTCCAGAAAGCCTCAAAAATAAAAAATAAATGAATAAAATGAAATATCAGAAACACATTTTAACCAGGCATCCAGTGCTCCACCTTTAAAACAAGGAAGTGCGCTTTAGGCTGCATTAATAAAGGGCTTTGTATTTCTAAAAAAAACCTGGGGAGTATTAAATGGTGATCTCTCTATTTCCTCCCATATGACTTGGGAGTAAAGCCCCAGAGCTTTAGTTCTGCTGCACAATTATTTATGCATTCAATAAGCATTTATTCTACTTCTGCTGAGTACAATGGCTGGAATGATTCAAAGAAGACAACGTGATTTTACAAGGAGAGGAGGATACAAAGCATATCACAGATGCTGAGACAGAAGGAAAAACATGTTCCTACCAGAGGCAGAACAAAGAGCACAGTGGTTCCCAATACGAGCATAGATCCCATTTCAACCTCAAGAAGGTACGTGGGCACCTCATAATGAGAGCACAGGTCTAGTGTCGGGGGACTGGAAAAAACGGTAATGCCAACAGGTACAATGAGAGTTAACAGTTTCTGAGTCCTTCCAAGGGGCCACTTCCAGAGTTGTAAGCACTCATAATATAGTAAACTCATTTAATCCTCACCATAATTACTTTTATGATCTCCATTTTACAGATGATAATAGTGAGGTAGAAATTCGGTAATTTGCTGAGATTCCAGAGCTAGTTGTAGTAGAGGCGGGCTCCAAATCCAGGCCCTCTGGCCCTCACCTTTCAGGCATCATCTCTCTGTTCAGCTCCTTCCTTCACTTCAGTAAGGCTTATGAATTAATGTATCAAACACATATGCATCACAGCAGCATCTCTGCATGCTTGAAAAATAGCAGCGCATACACAAATGGGACATGGAACTTCTCCAGCCCGTGAGGAAACACCTGCAGACCCCAGCTCAGGAAGCTGTGTGGGAGTTCCAGGACGTTCCGGTGAAATTTGAACTGGGCCTTGAAGAGAGGAGTAGGATGTTTACAATCAGAGGTAAAGGAAGGAAGGAAGGCAAGGTAAAGGACATTGAATAAAAGTGCAGAGAGGGGGTGGGAGCATACTGTGGTAAGTAGGAATAGAGGGAGAGTGGGCAGAGAGGAATGTTCCTTCCCACAGCCCTCCTGTGCCTATCTTGGCCCCACCCAGCAGGTGAAATCTGCCATCTGCTGCTAGATCTTTATTGCATATTACCCATGTTCAGCATTGTTCTGAAATTTCAATTAGATGCTTTTCAAATACTTCCTCTCTTTAAAGTTAATTAACTAATAATTAATTTATTCTCCTGACAAACAGTTTTATACTTCAGTGTCAAGCAAGTCATTTTTAGAAGACTCATAGATTGTGGTATATTTGGATCATACAATTGAAAGCATTTTTTCTTAATAATTCTATGACCTGTGTAAAATATTTATGAGTGATTTGTAATATTAATAGTATTAGTCATTTTGGATTCTCAGAATAAGAGGCCGTGATCTGGTCCTGCACCACTCTGTGAAATATTTCTGCCAGTTGAAATAAGAATGAAGCCATTCATCTCACTGCAAGCACATTCCCAAGAAAAACTTAAGAAAGACACTTGAATGTTAGCCCTGCTCCTGCAAATTAGGGTGTGATGTTTGTCCAGTCATCGAACATCGTCAGGCCTCATTTTTTTCATCTGTAAAGTGGAGAGATTGGATACCAGCTCCACTTGTGCTTCTGTTTTCAGTTCTGTGATTCTATGACAAGGCTCTGTGACCTGCCTCGATCCACAAAGCTAGCCTTCCAGTCCATGGAGCGAGCTCAGGCTTCTTCCAGCTCTGGCCTCCTTCACTCCATTGTGGCTTCCTAGCTGATCCTGAGAATCACCTCTGCTCTGAAAACAATGCAGGTTTCCATGTCCTACCCAGACTGGACCAGGAGCTTCACTGTGCTCTCCCTCTTCTAAATCAAAAAGCAGTACTTTCCTCTGGAGAGTGGAATTATAGTGACATTTTTTCATTCCTCTTCATGATCAGAATGTACTCTACATTTTTGTCACTAAACAAGTCATCTTGGTCAGAAAAACCTATTGTGATTTTGTTTTGTCTTGTTTTAATCAGGGATGGGGACAGGAGGTGGGGTGGCAAACTGAATGGAATTTGGTTCCATTGGCCCAAGAAAAGAATGTACTGGAGTTCTTAAAAAGTATTTTAGTGGGGAGGGGGGATGTAATTATATTGAGTGATTAACTCTTAGAGAAATGAATTAAAACAATAAATTATGTTTTTAGAAGACAAACTATGCATATTTAATGATGGTGATTGACAGTAGATAGGTGGATCACCAGCCTTTTCTTCTTTGTATGAAGAGTTGCATGTTCAGAGGGACCAAGCAGAAAAATACATTTTATCCCAGGGCAGAGGGAAGCTTGGGGAGTGGATATGTTTGTTCCAGTTCTCAAATGGTCCAGTGGTTTTCCTTTCTTGTGACCACGAGCACCGGGCTCATTGTGCTAGTCTATCATGGCCACTTGAGCTTGCCTTGCCTGTTAAATGGCTCTGTGGGGCACCATTCAGCTCTGGTCTGGCTCCAGTGACCACAAACCCAGTTTTGCCATATGTCACAGTTTTTTTGGCTATTTCCTACCTCAGCGATGGTGGCCCAGCCGGCGGAGAAAAGCTGTGTGGAGAGTGTGCAGCCATTCCTGGCGTCCATCCTGGAGGAGCTCATGGGACCAGTGAGCTCGGGATTCAGTGAAGTACGTGCACTCTTTGAGAAAGAGGTGGATGAACTCAGCCAGAACTTCCAGAACACCAAAGACAGTGTCCAGCTGAAGGAGGTAGGATACAGAGCTGAGGAGCTGGGTGTGAATGGTCTGCCTGGCTGCGTTTTCCATGAGGCTTTATCTGCCATTTCTCCTTCCCTTCCTCCCTTCTTCCCTTCCTTCCATTCTTCTGCCCTTCCCTCCATTCATCCAGCCTTTCTTCCGTTCATTCAGACCCCCCCATTCGTCCATCTATTCATCCATCCATCTGATAGTTTTATTGATGGTTTTCAAGTTAGAAAAATAATAACCTGTTTGTACAAATGAAACAACATACTCAAATATATATAAAGGCAAACTTAATCACCATCACTGATACCCACTAATCCTAGTCCACCCCAGCCTCCTAGGCTACCCCCATTCCCAACTCCCTGAATTAACTAATGGAAATAGCTTGGTATATATTTTTGCTATAGTTTTTCTTTATTCATACAAGTATATATCCTCATTTGTAGAACATTGTTGGTTTGTTTTCAAAAATATACACTCATGATATGAAATTTGATTTTAAAAAAAAACTTCAGCCAAATTAAATCTAAAGGAGTTTAATTGAGCAACAAACCATTTGCAAATCATTAGCCTCTAGAATCCCAACAGATTCACAGAGACACTCCAGGGGTGCCTCATGGTCAGAACAGATTTATAGACAAAAAAGGTCAAGTGACATACAGGAATTGGAAGGGAGGTACAGAAACAGTGAGATTGGTTACAGCATGGCCTTATTTGAATGCAGTTTGAACATTCAGCAGTCTATGAGTGGTTGAAGTATGGCCCCTGGGATTGGCCAACACTCAGCTATTGTTACTACTGAGTTAGGTTTTCAATTTTGTCTGACTAATAAGCTAGGTTACAGTTCATCCACAGGGATTCAAATATATAAGTAAGGAGTCCTTCTTAGGCCATAGTTAGTTTGCATTAATAATTCCCCCCTTTTGCAAAGGATATGAACAGACACTTCTCAAAAGAAAACATTTATGCAGCCAACAGACACATGAAATAATGCTCATCATCACTGTTCATCAGAGAAATGCAAATCAAAACCACAGTGAGATACCATCTCATGCCGGTTAGAATGGTAATCATTAAAAAGTCAGGAAACAACAGCTACTGGAGGGGATGTAGAGAAGTAGGAATGCTTTTACACTCTTGGTGGGAGTGTATATTAGTTCAACCATTGTGGAAGACAGTGTGGTGATTCCTCAAGGATCTAGAACTAGAAATACCATTTGACCCAGTGATGCCATTACTGGGTATACACCCAAAGGATTATAAATCATGCTACTATAAAGACACATGCACACATATGTTAACTGTGGCACTATTCACAATAGCAAAGACTTGGAACCAACCCAAATGTCCATCAATGATAGACTGGATTAAGAAAATGTGGCACATATATACTATGGAATACTTTGTAGTTCATGTCCTTTGTAGTGACACGGATGAAGCTGGAAACCATCATTCTGAGCAAACTATTGCAAGGACAGAAAACCAAACACAGCATGTTCTCACTCATAGGTGGGAACTGAACAATGAGAATACTTGGACACAGGGCAGGGAACATCACACACTGGGGCCTGTCATTGGGTAGGGGAATGGGGGACAGATAATATTAGGAGAAATAACTAATGTAAATGACGAGTTAATGGGTGCAGCAAACCAAAATGGCACATATATACATATGTAACAAACCTGCACATTGTGCACATGTACCCTAGAACTTAAAGTATAATAATT